CTTAACTAGAGACTTAAATAGAGTTAAATTCAGAACATACACAGATCTTAACTAGAGACTTAAATAGAGTTAAATTCAGTACATACACAGACCTTAACTAGAGACTTAAATAGAGTTAAATTCAGAACATACACAGATCTTAACTAGAGACTTAAATAGAGTTAAATTCAGTACATACACAGACCTTAACTAGAGACTTAAATAGAGTTAAATTCAGAACATACACAGATCTTAACTAGAGACTTAAATAGAGTTAAATTCAGTACATACACAGATCTTAAACATATGTTAACTAGTGACTCAAATAGAGTTAAATTCACTACAAATCTGAATCTTTACCATTGACTGAGTTAATTTTGTTTGTACATTTTCAATTCATAAAAATGAATAATGTGTCTGTCATCCATTTCTTGTACACTCTATAACTTGTGATCACAGACCAGAGACATTTTGATGAAACTTCATAAACACATGTATCACCATGAAACAGTCTGGTGTGTACAACTCTCAGGTCAGAGCTCTATAGGTCAAGGTCACAGTGAGGAAGGAAAGGTCAGGACTAAGGCAAAAAAGGTCAAATCGTTTTCAATTTATTTTTGAGCAGTTAAATTGAATGATTGAACATTTTGATGAACAATCATAGATGAATGTTATCCAAGGTCAGGGCTTCAGAAAATAACAGCAATGACATCAGGTGGTTTTAGAGAAGAATGAGATGACTTGGTTTTAGTGACAAGGTGTTTTCGAGGATTATTTTTAATATCTAACATGTGTGTGCTGAAAGATATTCATGTTTAGTAATTTCTTTTCGAATAGTGACAGCTTTGTAAATAGGTACAACATAAAACTAATCTATGGGGGCAAATCCCTATGAGAAACTAACATTACTAGTTGAGCAGTAAAAACTTTTTAAAATTGAACCCACTGCTCAAGTGAGGATGTTTAAAAAATATTTGCAATTTGTTTCACAGGTAACAATGAAGGTGGAAAAACTATGAGAGCTCGACAGTTAATGCAAATGCTGAACTGAAAAGACAAGTGCGCTATATCATGGATGTGTACAGTATATCAACAGATCTAAAAGGGTCTTTTCATCACAGTGATCTACACTTAAAACAGAAAGGCTATACATCATGGTGGTTCACACTTAACACAGAAAGGCTCTACATCACAGTGGTCCACACTTAACACAGAAAGGCTCTACATCACAGTTGTCCACACTTAACACAGAAAGGCTCTACAACACAGTGGTCCACACTTAACATAGAAAGGCTATACATCATGGTGGTTCACACTTAACACAGAAAGGCTCTACATCACAGTGGTCCACACTTAACACAGAAAGGCTCTACATCACAGTGGTCCACACTTAACACAGAAAGGCTCTACATCACAGTGGTCCACACTTAACACAGAAAGGCTCTACATCACAGTGGTCCACACTTAACACAGAAAGGCTCTACATCACAGTGGTCCACACTTAACACAGAAAGGCTCTACATCACAGTGGTCCACACTTAACACAGAAAGGCTCTACATCACAGTGGTCCACACTTAACACAGAAAGGCTCTACATCACAGTGGTCCACACTTAACACAGAAAGGCTCTACATCACAGTGGTCCACACTTAACACAGAAAGGCTCTACATCACAGTGGTCCACACTTAACACAGAAAGGCTCTACATCACAGTGGTCCACACTTAACACAGAAAGGCTCTACATCACAGTGGTCCACACTTAACACAGAAAGGCTCTACATCACAGTGGTCCACACTTAACACAGAAAGGCTCTACATCACAGTGGTCCACACTTAACACAGAAAGGCTCTACATCACAGTGGTCCACACTTAACACAGAAAGGCTCTACATCACAGTGGTCCACACTTAACACAGAAAGGCTCTACATCACAGTGGTCCACACTTAACACAGAAAGGCTCTACATCACAGTGGTCCACACTTAACACAGAAAGGCTCTACATCACAGTGGTCCACACTTAACACAGAAAGGCTCTACATCACAGTGGTCCACACTTAACACAGAAAGGCTCTACATCACAGTGGTCCACACTTAACACAGAAAGGCTCTACATCACAGTGGTCCACACTTAACACAGAAAGGCTCTACATCACAGTGGTCCACACTTAACACAGAAAGGCTCTACATCACAGTGGTCCACACTTAACACAGAAAGGCTCTACATCACAGTGGTCCACACTTAACACAGAAAGGCTCTACATCACAGTGGTCCACACTTAACACAGAAAGGCTCTACATCACAGTGGTCCACACTTAACACAGAAAGGCTCTACATCACAGTGGTCCACACTTAACACAGAAAGGCTCTACATCACAGTGGTCCACACTTAACACAGAAAGGCTCTACATCACAGTGGTCCACACTTAACACAGAAAGGCTCTACATCACAGTGGTCCACACTTAACACAGAAAGGCTCTACATCACAGTGGTCCACACTTAACACAGAAAGGCTCTACATCACAGTGGTCCACACTTAACACAGAAAGGCTCTACATCACAGTGGTCCACACTTAACACAGAAAGGCTCTACATCACAGTGGTCCACACTTAACACAGAAAGGCTCTACATCACAGTGGTCCACACTTAACACAGAAAGGCTCTACATCACAGTGGTCCACACTTAACACAGAAAGGCTATACATCACAGTGGTACACACTTAACACAGAAAGGCTCTACATCACAGTGGTCCACACTTAACACAGAAAGGCTATACATCACAGTGGTCCACACTTAACACAGAAAGGCTCTACATCACAGTGGTCCACACTTAACACAGAAAGGCTCTACATCACAGTGGTCCACACTTAACACAGAAAGGCTCTACATCACAGTGGTCCACACTTAACACAGAAAGGCTCTACATCACAGTGGTCCACACTTAACACAGAAAGGCTCTACATCACAGTGGTCCACACTTAACACAGAAAGGCTCTACATCACAGTGGTCCACACTTAACACAGAAAGGCTCTACATCACAGTGGTCCACACTTAACACAGAAAGGCTCTACATCACAGTGGTCCACACTTAACACAGAAAGGCTCTACATCACAGTGGTCCACACTTAACACAGAAAGGCTCTACATCACAGTGGTCCACACTTAACACAGAAAGGCTCTACATCACAGTGGTCCACACTTAACACAGAAAGGCTCTACATCACAGTGGTCCACACTTAACACAGAAAGGCTCTACATCACAGTGGTCCACACTTAACACAGAAAGGCTCTACATCACAGTGGTCCACACTTAACACAGAAAGGCTCTACATCACAGTGGTCCACACTTAACACAGAAAGGCTCTACATCACAGTGGTCCACACTTAACACAGAAAGGCTCTACATCACAGTGGTTCAAACTTAACACAGAAAGGCTCTACATCACAGTGGTCCACACTTAACACAGAAAGGCTATACATCACAGTGGTACACACTTAACACAGAAAGGCTCTACAACATGGTGGCAAACACTTAACACAGAAAGGCTCTACATCACAGTGCTTTCATCATAATGGTATTCATTTAATACAGAAGGACACTGCATCACTGCCACTGACTTCCAGTTTGAATATCTGAAAATTCTGTTTAACAAGAGAATAGGTGTAATGCAAACCTACTCTTAGTGCTATATTGAACTCTGAATTTATTGGACACATAGAAGTAACAACAAATCTGATGGCCTTGATATGAAATCGTAAATATGTGTAAAATTCTGTTTGTTTTGTATTTATTGCTGTATAAACAATAATATTAGATAACGATATACTATTGATGATATTGTGACGGAATAAAATAGTCATTCCTTTTCACTTGATATTTTTGTAGAAATGTGTTTTGATATTAAGGTATTTTTTAATTACCTCAGTATGAAATTTAAATAGTGTATATATAATCCTGTTGATAATAATTAAACTGTAAAATTTTCAGTAGAATCTGAAATTTTAACCAAGTTAAGAGAAGCAAAAAAGAATAACAGCATTTCCTTCTTCTGGTACACGTACTTTAATAACATAATTAAAATTAAAAAGGTGATTCAGCAATATCATCCTACAACTTCCTCACTAAAGACGGTAGTGATATATATCCAGGCTTGGTCCTCAAACAGCCCTGAAATGTACAAAGGTGAAAATATCAAGGCTTGGTCCACAAACAGCCCTGACATGTACAAAGGTGTTATCCAAGCTTGGTCCACAAACAGCCCTGAAATGTTCAAAGGTGATATATATCCAGGCTTGGTCCACAAACAGCCCTGAAATGTACAAAGGTGATATTTATATCCAGGTGATATTTATATCCAGGCTTGGTCCACAAACAGCCCTAAATTGTACAAAGGTGTTATATATCCAGGCTTGGTCCTCAAACAGCCCTGAATGTACAAAGGTGTTATATAGCCAGGCTTGGTCCTCAAACAGTCCTGAAATGTACAAAGGTGTTATATATCCAGGCTTGGTCCTCAAACAGCCCTGAAATGTACAAAGGTCATATTTATAGCCAGGCTATAAAACAGCCCTGAGAGAAACAAAGGTAATATATATATCCAGGCTTGGTCCTCAAACAGTCCTGAAATGTACAAAGGTGATATATATATATCCAGACTTGGTCCAAAAACAGCTCTGAGAGGTACAGAGGTGATATATATAGCCAGGCTTGCTCTTCAAAAAGACCTGAAAGGTACTTAGGTGATATATATAATCAGGTTTGGTCCACAAACAGCCCTGGAAGGTACAAAGGTGATAAAAATCAAGACTTGGTCCAGAAAGAGCCCTGAAAGATAGGAAAGTTAAATAAACTTAGGCATAATACAGAAACAAGCATGAGAGTGAAAAGGTGATATGAATCCAGGCTTGGACCAGTAACAGCAAAGAAAAGAAGAAAAGTGACATTGATGTACATTGTAGGTTTAATACATAGAAGACACGGAGAGGTCAACGGTGATACAACTCCAGTCTTGATGTACAGACCTAAAAGTTGGAGATGTTATTTCAATCAAGGCTTGGTCAACAAACAGGCCTGAAAGGTACAAAGGTGATTTGAAAAACCAAACAAGATCCAGAAACAGACCTGAAAAGTACAGCAATGATGTTAACCTAGACATGTTGTACAAACAGACCTTTAGAACATGTAATAAATAGGATTGAGTAATAGACCTGAAAGGTACTACATGTACGTTTCAAATTTATTTCTGGTTCCTTTTTCAACATACCATCACTGACTTGAATCTCAACAGCGTAACTTTGGCGGTCCAAGGTATGCATCAAAGAAAAAAATCCTGTCATTGGGTCGATAGCAAAAGGCTGGGCACCAGATTTGGTTACTATACTGTAGACCAATTGGCTGCCAGTGTCAAAATCAGTTGCCCGCACCGCCAGTAAGGTAGTTAATGCTGGAGAGTTGGCATTTACAGTTATATTGTACATAGAGCGTGAAAAACAAGGCCGGTTGTCGTTAACATCCAATACATCAAGAGTCACATTGGCGAGCAATCTCTCGACCCCAGAGGTTGTCGCCATGACATGGAAGTGGTAGCTATCTCTCATCTCCCTGTCCAGTGGTAATAGGGTGTAAAGTGACGCCGTGTTGTTGTTTAGGTCCAGTGTGAAAGGCACATCCTGGGGTGATAGGTGTATAGCCTTGAAAACATCATCCATACCAGACGGTACCATAAGGACCTGACGAAACAAACAGTCTTTGATCACATCTTAAATGACTGTTTACTTATGATTATGGTTGTTTTATATAATTAGAATACTGATAAAAGTATTAAAAGTAATCTGATGAAGTTATATTTTGTGGAACATTAAATAAACATTACATTCTTTTGTAACAATATTATCAGTTTGCATATACATGTTAGTTTGTATAGCAGTAGAAGGCTACATTTCAATCTATATCGGGAATTCGGGGGAAAATAAGAATTAGACTTTACTCATTATCAGTTTAGAAATCTGTAGGTAGGTTTTCCCTTTCTTGACAGTAACATCCTGCTTCCCCAACATTTTAAGTTGATTTATTATTCAAGAGCTTGCTCCGAATGTCATGACTTTCGTGATAGATTTTGACTGCTTAAAGACGAACTAACAATACAGGGTTTCCAAGAATGCATGTTGATAAAGATGTATTGCAATTTTATGGTTGCAATCAAGATCTCATTGGAAAACGTTTTGTTTATGTTTTAGATATAACCCATTAGTCTCCCTTGTTGTTATGGTGTCACGACCCCAGTTCTCCCTATGAGGACATTACATCACTTTGATTTGATGTAGACTTATAAGGCAGATGTTTTGACCCTTCTGGAATACATGGTCTTATTATCCTTGAATTTTTTCAAGGATCTCCATGTAAATCTTTCCTTTATTTCCTATTTTGCCCTAGTTTTATTGATTACTGTGTTGAACTAGGGTTTTGTTGACACTTTCGTATTTTGTAGTGTATAGATATAATTACTCACTGATCCTATGTAGGAGTGTGTATGGATTGATTCTGGTACGCGGAATGTGAAGGAACATGGTAAGATGATATATACGTGGCAGGTTGAACTCATTGATGGTAGACCAGCATCTGACATAAAATAGATATATAGATACCATGGTGTAAGCATACAGTGCTAATAGGAAGTCAAAATCTTTACAAAAAGGCAAGAATATTAACTGATTAGATTTTAAAAAGGAACAAAGAACAGAACGGAGGAGGCAATAGAACTAATGGAATTTTTACAATAGAAACATACAGATGCAAAAACAAAAATAAATCAAACAATGAAAACCAATAAGGCACGAAACTAAAGAAAAATAACAATAGCAAAAAAAGTTTAAAAAGCCAGGAAGAGATACAAAAAAACAACAGATTGACAACACAAGAACAGATGAGACAACGAACGAAAAGAAAAACAGGAAAAGAGAAACTTTTAAACAGAATGAAAAACGACATCATGAAAAAAGGATAAACTGAAAAAAAAGGAAAGACAAAAAGAGGAACAGAAGAAATGCTGATAAAAAGGAAAGACAACAACAGGAATAAATTAAAGGAGACACTGATACAAAAGGACAGGCAGCATGAATGGAGGAGACACCGAAACAAAGGGAAAGTCAGCATGAATGGAGGAGACACCGAAACAAAAGGAAAGGCAGCATGAGTGAAGGAGAAACCGAAACAAAGGGAAAGTCGGCATGAATGGAGGGGACACCGAAACAAAAGGAAAGGCAGCATGAATGGAGGAGACACCGAAACAAAAGGAAAGTTAGCATGAATGAAGGAGAAACCGAAACAAAGGGAAAGTCGGCGTGAATGAAGGAAACACCGAAACAGAAGAAAAGTCGGAATGAATGGAGGAGACACCGAAACAAAGGGAAAGTCAGCATGAATCGAGGAAACACCGTAACAAAAGGAAAGTCAGTATGAATGAAGGAGACATTGAAAAAGAAGGAAAGTTGGCATGAATGGAGGAGACACCGAAACAAAAGGATTGATAACAACAGGAATGAAGGAGATATCTTAGCAGAAGAAGGAAAACAATATGAATGAAAAATTGAAGACAACAGGCGGAGCGAAGGAGACACCGCAAAAAAAATGAAAAACAACAGGCACTTTAAGAAGGTACCACAAAAACAAAAGGAAATCCAAAATCAGGAAGAGACGGGACGTCTAAAGAAGAAAGGAATGGCAACAAAAATGGAGGCGACATAAAAACAAAAGGAAAATAAATATCAGGAACTCAGGACATTCTAAAACAAAAGGAAAATAGATATCAGGAACTAAGGACATTCTAAAACAAAAGGAAAATAAATATCAGGAACAAAGGAATTCCGAAACAAAAGGAAAATAAATATCAGGAACTTAAGGACATTCTAAAACAAAAGGAAAATAAATATCAGGAACTAAGGACATTCTAAAACAAAAGGAAAATAAATATCAGGAACAAAGGAATTCCGAAACAAAAGGAAAATAAATATCAGGAACTTAAGGACATTCTAAAACAAAAGGAAAATTGATATCAGGAACTAAGGAATTCCGAAACAAACAGAAAATTGATATCAGGAACTAAGGAATTCCGAAACAAACAGAAAATTGATATCAGTAACTAAGGACATTCTAAAACAAAAGGAAAAAAAATATCAGGAACTAAGGACATTCTAAAATAAAAGGAAAAATAGATATCAGTAACTAAGGACATTCTAAAACAAAAGTAAAATAAATACCAGGAACTTAAGGACATTCTAAAACAAAAGGAAAACAAATATCAGGAACTAAGGACATTCTAAAACAAAAGGAAAATAAATATCAGGAACTAAGGACATTCTAAAATAAAAGGAAAAATAGATATCAGTAACTAAGGACATTCTAAAACAAAAGTAAAATAAATAACAGGAACTTAAGGACATTCTAAAACAAAAGGAAAATTGATATCAGGAACTAAGGAATTCCGAAACAAAAGGAAAATAAATATCAGTAACTAAGGAATTCCGAAACAAAACAGAAATCAAATATCAGGAACTAAGGAATTCCGAAACAAACGGAAAATAAATATCAGGAACTAAGGACATTCTTAAACAAAAGGAAAATAGATATCAGGAACTTAAGGACATTCTAAAACAAAAGGAAATTAAATATCAGAAACTAAGGACATTCTAAAACAAAAAGAAAATAGATATCAGGAACTAGGGACATTCTAAAACAAAAAGAAAATAAATATCAGGAACTACGGACATCCTAAAACAAAAGGAAGATAAATATCAGGAACTCAAGGACATTCTAGGCAATACAACAGTTAATACTGAGAAAATAGCAAAATAACAAGAGATACAAGAACAGGACAAGGAGCTGATAGAATAAAAAAAGGAGAAGACAATTGTTGGTAACGTTAAAAGAATGACCAAACCATAAGTATAGCATAACAATGATTCCTGAGTAAGGGGGACTGTGGAACCTGGGTGGTTCAGACACTATGGTATACATTAAGAATAATAAAGAATAAACAGCTTAATGGATAACTGAGACAGCAGGATCCTGGTATAACGTCTAAGGGGCTTGTCTATATGTAAAGTATGTACCATGTGTTATGCCAATTTACACCCCCTCTAGATTATTTACTATCATTAGGAATTAGTTATTTTACTTTACCTTGTGCTCTGATCTGTAAGACATACAAGGCTTCTGTAGGATGTGTAGTTAGAACGATGTGCCCAGTTCTGGAATTTATTTCAAAATTCAATTCTCTATTTGTTTGTAATTTGTAGTTAACAAAACCGTTATCACCAACATCAGCATCTATAGCAGACACTTGTCCAATCTCAGTTCCAGGCAGGGTATCTCCCTTGACAAAGAATGAGTATGAGGACTGACTGAAAACTGGAGTATTGTCGTTGAGGTCAAGAACTTCAACTATAATTTCGGCAAAAGGAGTGGCACCATTGTCACAAGATACTCGTAAAGCATATTCCGTTTGCACCTCTCTGTCTAAGACAGCTGCCGTATAGATATCACCAGTGGGACCCAATCTGAAGTTATTGGACCCATATATACTGTAGGAGCAGTTAGGCTTGATTCCCGATAGTGTTACCTGAAACAAAGGAATGAAATGAGCCTTAAGGTGTGGTATGAAAGGTGATTATGGAAGAAGACATGTACTCAAATATGAAGACAGTTGTAAAACCAATTGTTGCTAACCCAAACTCATTCGTAGCATTTGTGCCTAGAATATGATGATGAAATCATGCATATTATTAACTGCACCTTACCTATCACTACCCTCAGCTCACCTGTCATTACACACAACTCATCTGTCACTACACATAACTCATCTGTCACTATACACCTAACCTGTCACTACACACACCTCACCTGTCATTACACACCTCACCTGTCACTACATATACCTAACCTGTCACTGCACACATCTCACCTGTCACTACACGACTCACCTGACACTACACAAACATTACATGTCACTACACACACCTCACCTGACACTACACACACATCACATGCCACTACACACACCTCACCTGTCACTACACACACCTCATCTGTCATTACACACACCTCACCTGGCACTACACACACATTACATGTCACTACACACACCTCACCTGTCACTACACACACATCACATGTCACTACACACACCTAACCTGTCACTACATACACCTCACCTGTCACTACACATGCATCACATGTCACTACACACACCTCACCTGTCACTACATACACATTACCTGTCACTACACACACCTCACCTGTCACTACACACACCTCACTTGTCACTACACATACCTAACTTGTCACAACACACCTCACCTGTCACTACACACACCTCACGTGTCACTACACACACCTCATCTCTTACTACACACACATCACATGTCACTACACACACCGTACATGTCACATCACACACCTAACCTGTCACTAAATAAACCCTATCTGTCACTAGACACATCATCTGTCACTACAGACACCTCACCTGTCAATACTCACCTCATCTGTCACTACACACACCTCATCTGTTACTACACACACCCGACCTGTCACTACACACACCTCATCTGTCACAACACACACCTCACCTGTCACTACACACACCACACCTGTCACTTCACACACCTCACCTATCACTAAACACATCTAACCTATCACTACGCACACCCCACCTGTCACTACACACACCTCATCTGTCACTACACACACCTCACCTGTCACAAAACACACACCTAACCTGTCACTACACACACCTAACCTGTCACTACACACACCCCACCTGTCACTTCACACACCTCACCTATCACTAAACACATCTAACCTATCACTATGCACACCCCACCTGTCACTACACACCCCTCATTTGTCACTACACACCCCTCACCTGTCACTACACACACCCCACCGGTCACTACACACACCCCACCTGTCACTTCACACACCTCACCTATCACTAAACACAGCTAACCTATCACTATGCACACCCCACCTGTCACTACACACCCCTCATTTGTCACTACACACCCCTCACCTGTCACTACACACACCCCACCGGTCACTACACACACCCCACCTGTCACTACACACACCTAACCTGTCACTAAACACACCCCATCCGTCACTACACACACCTCATCTGTCACTACACACACCTCACCTGTCACTACATACATCGTCTGTCACTACACACACCTCACCGGTCACTACACACACCTTATCTGTCACTAAACACACCTCATCTGTCACTACACACCTGATCTGTCACTACACACACCTCACATGTCACTACACACTTCCCCTGTCACTAACCACACCTCACCTGTCACTACACACATCATCTGTCACTACACACACCTCACATGTCACTACAAACCTCATCTGTCACTACACCCACCTCACCTGTCACTACATACATCATGTCACTACACACACCTCACCTGTCACTACACACATCACCTGTCACTACACACACCTCACATGTCACTACACACTTCACCTGTCACTAACCACACCTCACCTGTCACTACACACATCATCTGTCACTACACACACCTCACATGTCACTACAAACCTCATCTGTCACTACACACACCTCCCCTGTCACTACACACCTTATCTGTCACTACACACACCTCACCTGTCACTACATACATCGTCTGTCACTACACACACCTCACCGGTCACTACACACACCTTATCTGTCACTAAACACACCTCATCTGTCACTACACACCTGATCTGTCACTACACACACCTCACATGTCACTACACACACATCACATGTCACTACACACACCTCACATGTCACATCACACACCTAACCTGTCACTACATACACCTTACCTGTCACTACACACATCATCTGTCACTACACACACCTCACATGTCACTACACACCCCTCATCTGTCACTACACACACCTCACCTGTCACTACATACATCATCTCACTACACACACCTCACCTGTCACTACACACCTTATCTGTCACTACACACATAACCTGTCACTACACACACCTCACATGTCACTACACACTTCACCTGTCACTAACCACACCTCACCTGTCACTACACACATCATCTGTCACTACACACCTAACCTGTCACTACACACACCTCATCTGTCACTACACACACCTCACCTGTCACTACACACCTTATCTGTCACTACACACACCTAACCTGTCAATACATACATCATCTGTCACTACACACACCTCACCTGTCACTACACACATCACCTGTCACTACACATAACTAACATGTCACTACACACACCTCACCTGTCACTACACACCTCATCTGTCACTACACACACCGCACATGTCACTACACACACCTCACCTGTCACTACACACATCACCTGTCACTACACATAACTAACATGTCACTACACACACCTCACCTGTCACTACACACCTCATCTGTCACTACACACACCGCACATGTCACTACACACACCTCACCTGTCACTACACACATCACCTGTCACTACACATAACTAACATGTCACTACACACACCTCACCTGTCACTACACACCTCATCTGTCACTACACACACCGCACATGTCACTACACACACCTCACCTGTCACTACACACATCACCTGTCACTACACATAACTAACATGTCACTACACACACCTCACCTGTCACTACACACCTCATCTGTCATTACACACACCTCACATGTCACTACACACATCATCTGTCACTACACACCTCATCTGTCACTATACACATAACCTGTCACTACACACACCTCATCTGTCACTACACACACCTCACCTGTCACTACAAACATCATCTGTCACTACACACCTCATCTGTCACTATACACCTAACCTGTCACTACACACAACTGTCATAACACACACCTCATCTGTCACTACATACATCATCTGTCACTACACACCTAACCTGTCACTACACACACCTCATCTGTCATTACACACACCTCACCTGTCACTACACACACCTAACCTGTCACTACACACAAACCACCTGTCACTACACACACCTCATCTGTCACCACACACCTCATCTGTCACCATACACCTAACCTGTCACTACACACACCTCATCTGTCATAACACACACCTCACCTGTCACTACACACACCTAACCTGTCACTACATACATCATCTGTCACTACACACACCTCACCTGTCACTACACACACCT